TATGACATATTTGAACCAGTATCAATCGAGGTATCTTGGTAGGTGTAAGTAGGTGAGAGGATATGGGAACAGAGTGGTTAAATAGGGAACCTACAAGCAGGTTCCAGATATGGCAACTAGTGTAGAACCTTCGAGCAGACTACTTAAATTAGACAATGACTAAAGTTGTATGAGTGACTAGTTGTATACTCTTTTCATGGTTGCCTTCTGTGGTTGTAATGCAACCATTAACTGAATGTACTATCAATAAAATCCTGAGTCGCAAGTACTCACCTTAATATTTAAAAAAATAAAAAAAAAATGAATTTTTAAATATTAGAATATAAAATTATATAATAAAATTAATTTATAGATTTATGTAAATTAACTAATCAAATTCTTTAATTTTGTATTATCTAAGAAAATTTTAACTAATTTAAAAAAACTTTATTGTATATATAAATATATTTTTTAAATAATACAATAGTTCAAATTTTTATTATAATAGATAAATAATTTTATTTAAAATATTATAAAATTTTTTTCTTGATTAATTAAAAAATAAAAAAGTTTTATTAGTAATATATATCAATTTTAGATAAAAATTTTAGAGACATACAAAACTACAGTCAAACTTCTCTATAATCACCTTTGGTTTTAAGAATTTGGTGCTTATAGAGAGTTTGTGCCTATATGAAGATTAAATTTTATAAGTGTTATATAAGTTGGTTTTAAAAATTTATGTGATTATAAGCTAATGTGACTATAGAGAAGGTGACTATAAAGAGGTCTGACTGTATATAAAAATGATCTACGTACACTCTACCCTGAAATCGTGTATAATCCCGATCATCAAAATTCGCGGTCCCGTATCAACCATTTAGTTTCCATATTTGGGACGGTCCTACCTTGAGCTGTTAACAGTACGTATAATTTTCGTGTAACGTTACTATGTAAATGAAAATCCATCAACATCTTCACTCACGACGATTGTCTGATGGCTGGTAACGATTATTTCAATATCGATATGACAAAGTCTAATGATCTCAAGACTTCTACTAGACTTATTGGACGTTTACCATACAATGAAACCCCAAATTTTACACCTATTCAATCTGTGAGGTCCAGTGAGCTCCTCTTGAATGCTAGAAGAGACAGTCACAGTCCATCAATACGAAGTTCCAGCGTTGATAATTGTTATGGTCCATCGTTTAGATTGAGTATGGAAGGTTATAATGTGCAATCACAGAATTCCAGTGATGTTTTTATTAAACCTTCAAGGTCTGGAGAGTTTCCATTGCAACCATCGAGATCGGGCGTGTATTCGTTTAGACGATCCAATCATGACTATGGATTTGATCATGATAACTTTGGTCACTTCCGAAGGTCGTACTCACCAGAATACCTTGGTAGAAATTTACCATCGTCACATCGATCGATGGATGATAGTAACAATGTTAGTGCTATCGAACACACAAATAATATTTTTAACAATACGCGGTCACAATTCCCTCCTGTTGAACAGCATCAAAAGAAAAATTCAAAAAAGAAAAAGCGGAATAACCAACTGCCAAATGTTGTTAGAAATAATTCTAAACCTGATGTCCAAGGACCTGTCGTTCATTCTCTTCCACTTTTGCCTTCCCCTCAACCTGTTAGTGAGACCTCTGATAATAAATTCGATTTTTCTAAAACAAGCGATAATCTGACACCTTCAAAGGAGTATACGCGCATTACATTTATACCGTCTATCAGACTCGATAAATCTTTACCAAAATTGATGGTACTAGATCTTAATGGAACCTTGGTGTGTCGAATAAAGACTGGACGAATCATATTGCGTCCATATATCAACGAGTTCGTGGATTATATTTTTAATAACGGGTTTTACGTCATGGTCTGGTCATCAGCTCAGCCTTATAACGTCAACAAAATGGTGACTGCTATTTTTGGCAGATATGAGGCCAGCTTAATTGAGGTTTGGGATAGGGATAGTTTTGGACTGTCCACACAGCAATATCATACTAAGACACTTACTATTAAAAATCTAGAGAAAATTTGGGAAAAATTGAACAAATTGAATGGTAAACCTCGTTGGGATCAGTTAAACACGGTCCTGATTGATGACTCAATGAAAAAGGCGCAATTACAGCCTTTCAACTCTATTCATCTAACTGAATTTGATAAATGTCGAGCAGATAAAGGGAATGACCGTGAGCTGTTTGATGTCATCCCTTATCTGGAAGAATTACGATATCAAAGCAACGTTAGTGCTTATATCAAAGAATTTCCACATAAAAGTAAAAAATTGAGCAGTAAAGAGAGCTATTCGTATGATAACGATGATCCTTCCTTCCACAAAACAATCACGAATTTGAATTCTGATATTAAGGAGGGAATGTCATTGAATGATTCATCTAGTAACTCATATAGTCGAAGAACAATTACATATGGTAGGTTGCCTTTTTTAATAGAAGATATCTTCTGTCATATGCTGATCAAGAACTTAAATTTATGGTGTTAAGATGTTGTTCCAAACGAGGATCTGCCAAAGAATGTGAATACCTCCATTGGAAGCAATAGAAAGATGCCATCACGCAATGTCCAAGAAAAATCAAACGATCAATGTAAAGTCTCTTAAACTGAACGTAAGTAACCGTTTAATCTTAATTACGTTAATGAATGCAATGTCTACCATTATTGCAGTTTTTTTTCTTTTTAATATATATATATATATTCTATGTGATAATAGTATATGAATCGAGGCAATCCATTTTACGATGCTATAATCCAAAATTTTCTAATATTACGATATATTAAAAATTTTTGTCACTGAAAAAATTTGTGCTAATTTATATACGAAGTAATTTCTTAAATTACCCGTACACCTTTCTTAAAGAACAATTACCACCGTCAGTCATTAATGTTTTTTCTTCATATATGAAAGGTTACTGAATTTTGAGAGGGAACACTTGAGATAAATCTATCTGATATGTGCGTTATCCCTTTGCACTACAGGTAAAAAAAAAAGGTTAACATCTAATTTATTTAAATAATAAACGTCGCGACTGAAGCTGGAAATTTTAGATACTTTAATATGAAATATTCATATTTTTTTGGGTGTATTTTTTTTTAGCTTTTTTGCATAGTTAACTTAGAATTTAGTGTTATTTTTGATAATAGAATGTTCGAATGGATTTTGATAGGGTTTATATTTAAATCGAGGTTCCTAATTTCCAGCTTCAACCGTATTCAGCTTCAGTCGCGACAATAAATTATCAAATTACGAATGGAATTCTGTCTGGGATAGTCAAAATTTTTACACGAGAGTTTATAAATATCAATTCAAATATCTGGATGACTACTGTCAATTTTATAAATTCAGGTGACAGATACCACACACGATTATAGTCGAACTTTCAACATGAGTGTAAGAGTGAAACCTGGAAACTGATCATAGTAAATCATTAAATCGGTTTCCAGGTTTTCACTCTCACGCACTCATATACTAAAAGACTTGGTCCTTATAAATAGGTTCTGCCTCACGTGAGATGACCAAGTCGATTTCACGAAGCTTTTGTGTCTCGCGGAAATAAATTATTCGAACATAAAATTCTAATGATTAGTGAAAGTTTTTTTTTTTTTGATAAAGATTTTATGCTATATTTATCAAGAGCTAATTTGAAAAAAAATGATATTGTTGTAAGCATTGCAGTTATGAAATGAGTGGGACTCCAGCCGAAGTACGTTTATGAAATAATTGTTCAGTGTTAAAATGCGAGTATCAGCATCATTTTGAAACAATGGTTAGCATAAGTCTCACTATATACTATCACTAGTTCACTGAAACTGCTCTATTCATGACGCGAACGCTAACGCAAACCTTGTTTTGTTACAAATGTAAAGCTGGTTAAAATTTATCTAGGCTTAAAATTTTTTTCCAAACTTTTATTAATTAGAACTGTTAACTCCGCCAATAATACTCGCATTTATCTTATATGAGATTAGATTGTAACATTGTTGCTTAGTACAATAAGGATATATACCTTAGGGAAAAGGCGTGTTCTAAAGAGAAATATTCTTTATGTCCTGTTAAACTCTGATTTCGGTTTCCATTTCTATTTACGATTTACTAAAACATACCGATACCGATACCCAAAGTTAAAAAACAAAATAGAAAATACAAGATGTATTTTGCACAGCCTTGTATTATGGACAGTTTTGGCATTACCACCTTCGCCACTAACTTTAAATCTTTAAATATAAACCAAATAGTTAACTTCAATTTCCAAAGCCCCGAGAAATTTTGTAATGATAATGATCAGCTTTGTTTAATTTGGACTTCGTTAATTATCAACCAATTTGTAATTTTCACAAGTGGTGACGATCTTTTAAAACAAAGTTTCACCAGGAATGCGAAAAGAAATTTTATAAATTAGTATATATTTATCACATCCATATAATATAGAAATAACAATGGCGGGAATATCAACGATAATAAACTTCGTAATAGGCATCCTGGTATCAATGGTAGCCTCGATTATGGATGCAGCAGGTATAAATCTACTTAAATTGGATCATGTCAAGAATTCCAGTAAGCCAATAGAAAAACAACGTAACGATTGTGGTAGACCTTTATGGCACGCTGGCTTATATTTATATATCTTTTCACAAGTTTTTGGGAGTACGGTCGCATTAAGTAAGTTCGATTCTTCTTCTGAAATTTGAATTATCGATTATTAAGAATACATTATAACAAAACCTATTATTGATGAATAGATTTTCTTAAACCACAATGGGTAGCACCTCTTGGATCTTTGTCTTTGATTTTTAATTTTATTTTTGCCAGAGTTTTAGTTGGAACTAAAATTACAAAACAAGATCTTTGGGGTACTTTGGTGATTGTAATTAGTGTGATATGGGTTGTGGGTTTCGGAGGTATTAACAAGGACAATGATGGTATGTAACCAAGCTTACTATATATGTGTGAATATCCATTTCTTTTTTATGCACATAATAACATGATTAAATGTAAAATAGATGATTTGGATTTGGAAAAACTAAAGGAATTAATGTTACGCCCTTTATTCATCATTTATTTTTCTATACTCAATGTAATAACTTTTATTCTCTTCGGCTGTGCCATATTTGGTTATCTGATGACTAATAATCCTGAGATAAAGAAAAAAAACAAATATCTCAATGGAATTGAAACTTCTCGATTGCAAAATTGGGTTGGTATGACAATGGCTGGTGTTGGTGGTTTACTCGCCAGTCAGACTTTACTCTTGGCTAAAAGCGGGTATGCTTCACTTTTATACACGTTCGTATTTATTCATATTAATTATACTTATATCACGTGCTCTTCGTTGTTCATAGCGTCAAGTTACTTGCTACATCCATCTCCGAACATAAGAGTCAATTTACTGATAAATTAAGTTGGTTTATTCTCTTATTCCTAATGTTTACGGCCGTGCTCCAGGTTAGTTTCAAAGCCATTCTTATCATTAGTAATATATATCAAATGCATGAATGGAAATGTTAAAATAATTGTAGGTTTATTGTCTTAATACTGCATTGAAATTACTCGATACAGTATTGGTGGTCCCTCTGTTTTATGGTTTCTATACCACAATGAGCCTTGTAAACACAATGATTTATCTTGATGAATTAAGTGAATATCCTGCTTGGGTACTTTCCTTAATTGCCATTGGAATTGCTGCTTTAGTATACGGTGTGCTATTATTAAGTGAAGCAAAGAACGTAATTGAAGACTCGTCGGATGAAGATGAATTTGATGACAGTAAAGTACGAAAAAGACGTAAAAAGAAAAAACCAGAGCCAGAAGACGTGTTTAATGATTTTGACAAATGGGTGCAAAGTAGATTCAGTATAAGTGAAGATGCTGATAGACCTGATTTACAGATTGAGGAACCTGAAATAAAATCAACTACGATGGTAGCAAAGAATGATACGTAAAAGAAATATCAATGATTAACATGTTTTAATATCTTAAATTTAATAGGTTACACTTTTGGTAAAAAAACTATGCATACAATTATACGTAAACGGTTAATCTTGAAGGTTATTAAAATGGTTGTTAGCATTACTAACTTTATTTATATTCAAGGGTAGGATATTATACTGTATATATAACAATAATCGATATAATGATACGTATATAATACAAAGTCTTAAATCACAACAGTGGTGCTTAACTCATTTCTATATGTAGTAATTTTATCATTAAAGTTTAGGGTTAAGGGTTTTTTAGGAAGCTATTTTGCTTAGAATATCAAATTAAATACCATTGATGTGATTAGTAAAGTCGAAATTACATTATTAAATATAGATAATTTCTGTTTGTACACGGGGTGTATGTACACGGCAATATAAAAACCGACCAATATCTCAAAATTTTGATTATGAAACCACCTTTTGGCTTTTAGAAAAAAAAAATTTCTTACGCATTTTGGTACGTATAAGCTATATCTTGCCCAATCCCAAACCAACCCTTACCCTAACCATGAGCAAGGATTTATTTTATCGTTTCAATAAATCATAGCCGTGTTATGTAATTTGATTGGTTAATATTCACAGATCGACGCTTGTTACACGATACGTTTAAAAATAAAATCTATATATCGTTGAGCTTAACCATTTACCTAAAGAAAAAAAAACCCCACAGGGAGCAACTCAACATGAATGTTAAATTACCTGGTGCCGAAATTGGCAAAGTCGTGACTCGATTTCCACCGGAGCCTAGTGGATACTTGCATATTGGACATGCCAAGGCCGCAATGTTAAATCAACATTTTGCGCAGGAATATAAAGGAAAAATGATTTTAAGATTTGATGATACAAATCCTACTAAAGAAAAGGCATGTTTATTATTTAATATATTAAACTGATTGAATTATGTGCTAATTGGTTAATCCATTTAATATTATATTTATATATAAAAGGAAGAATTTGAAGAATCCATCAAAGAAGATTTAACACTACTTGGTATACATGCTGATCAAATAACCTATACTTCGGATCATTTTGAGGAGCTTTACCAATATGCTATCAAGCTTATCAATAAAGGATTAGCTTATGTGGATGATACTGATGTCACTACGGTATTTATAAGTTACTGCTTACATAGACATGATTTAAAAATTAATGCTTTCCAAAATAAATTTAGATGCGCACGGAGCGTATGAATGGTATTGAATCCAAGAACCGGAATTTATCTGTTGAAGAGAATCTTCAGAGATTCCAAGAAATGCTTGAAGGTACCGAATTTGTAAGTAAATAAATCAGTTTATATTCAATATAATTCAAATTTTATTCATTATCATTGTTTTTAGGGTCTGAGCTGTTGCCTGCGTGCCAAAATTAATATGAAGAATCCCAATAAGGCTCTTCGTGATCCTGTTCTATATAGATGCAATATATTACCTCATCATCGTACTGGGTAAGGTAACTAGCTGTACTATTATTTTTCAGTCCATTATGTTTATTAACTACCAATTTTACTCAGAGATAAATGGAAAATTTATCCTACGTATGATTTTGCATGTCCAATCGTTGATTCTATCGAAGGTGTTACGCATGCATTAAGAACCAATGAATATCGTGATCGCAATGCTCAATATGATTGGATACTTGATGCCTTAGAGTTAAGGAAAGTGCATGTTTGGGACTTCAGGTATGTTATAATGTATGACATTATTTCATTACTGTTCATTTTCTGTTTTATGCATTCAACGAATTATTTTATTATAGTCGGTTGAATTTTGTATATACCTTGTTATCAAAACGTAAGCTACAATGGTTTGTAGATCAAGGTCACGTCAGTGGATGGGATGATCCGAGATTTCCGACTGTTCGCGGTAAGTTATCTTATTATACCTCAAAGATATTTGGAATATACAAGTCATTCTCATCATAGTGAAGCGATCACTATGTATAGTTTTGTTAATAAATTCACTATGTTGTGATAATTTATACAGAATGATACTTAGTTTAACTTCACTATATCGAGAGTACACTACAACGAGTGTGACTTACATTTATGTTAACTATCTTGAAAATCAATATTTGGTTACTGATAATTATGGAGGGTTTTTTTTATTGGGTAAAAAATAATAAGCATGTGGAAATTTTTGGCACTTTTCATAAAATTCAACAAAAGACCTTAATCATTTTTGTTTACACATTTGAAAGTATATTTTATATATAATTATATTTAAATTGAATAATTTATCAAATTTAGGCATAATCCGTCGTGGAATGACCGTCGAGGCTTTGAAAAAATATATCCTTACTCAAGGTGCTTCAAAAAATACGGTAATGCTGGAATGGGATAAACTATGGGCTTCAAATAAGTCAGTTATTGATCCGATTTGTCCAAGACATACATCAATGTTAAAACCGAACATGTAAATATAGTGTTTATTTAAAGCATTGCTTTTCAATTTTAATGTTGGCCATTAATTGCCTTTAAATTAGTGTTAAGGCTAGTATTTCTGGTGGCCCTGAAGTTCCCTATACAAAAGACTTACCAAAGCACAAGAAGAACCCCAATGTAGGAACAAAGAAGACATGGTTTTCTTCGACCATTTTTATTGACCAAGATGATGCTAAGACATTTGAAATTGATGAAGAGGTAGTGATAATATAACGTTTTAATATTTAAGATTCTTAATGTTAAATTCATTGCGGTCAACAATAGATAACACTTATGGACTGGGGAAATGCTATAGTTAAATCTATTCATAAATCTGACTCAGACCCTGAAACAGTGATAGGGTTGGATTTACAACTTCATTTGGAAGGTGATTATAAAAAGACCAAGAAGAAGATTACTTGGTTGGCTGATACCGAAGATGTCTTAGAAATTGTGTTGGCCGACTACGATTATTTGATCAATAAGCGGAAATTGGAAGAAAATGATGAAGTTAAGGATTATGTCACTGAAAAAACCGAATTTTTAACTAGTGCTGTCGCAGATTCTAATGTGAGAATGCTCAAGAAAGGTAGGGAATTTTATTTCAGTTGTATTTTGGATAATTGTTAATCAAAAGTTCTTTTAATTTTATAGGTGATATAATCCAATTTGAGAGAAAGGGATATTATATACTGGATGATGATATTTCTACCACCTCTGTTCCACGCTTTAACCATATTCCTGATGGTAAGGCTAGTAGTATGGCTTCTAAAGCTGCGAGTGGTAAAAAAAATTAGTCGATTTGATAATTTTGATACGGTTAAGCCGCCCTAGTCGGTTATTATCTCAAAAATTAAACTATAATTCGTATTTTTATTTTACATAAAATAAAAAAAAATAAAATGTATAGAGAATTTCTATTTGTACTGGTGGGCAGTGTTATAGCGGATTTTGTTCCGTCAAAATTGCACGGACGCAGACAGTCCCGGACAGCGTCCCATATCACGGACAATGTCCTATGTCCGTGAACTCATACAGGGGGATCCCCAAAATTCCGAGTCGGAATACTTCGGAATCATGCTCGGCAGGGCCGGACTTAACTAATTTTGCCCAAGATCACTAAAAGGTTTACAAATGAAACCATAGCTCACTCATTAAGTAAAGCTGCCCAGCTGATAATTTTGGCCCAAAAAAATGGTTACTAAATGCTAACTAAATGCCGGGCTAAATCCGATGGTTTCGACCCGGAATTTTGGGGATCCCCCTGTATGAGTTTATGTCCGTGATGGTTGTCCCATGGCATATGGTTTATCGAACAACCTGATTGGCTAACACAGCTGTTCTTATTATAATTTCAATTGTCCGGGACAAAAAAATGTTTGCGGGTATGTCCGGGACGTCCCATCCCGGACTGTCCGCTGACAACGTGTCCATGACAACACTGCCGGTGAGTGCGGCATAAAGAAAATATGAATCCGACTTATGATTTTTGGTTCGGAGCCAATCAATTTACAGAATTTTGTTACACGAAATTTTGTAAAAACAAAGCATTTTGCACAATAGCCATTAAAATTAGTGGTTGTCTTTAGCTTGTACGTACATATCCGGGCAGTGTTGTACATTTTTTATTGTCCAAGGCTTTTTTGACCATGTTCACCAAAAGTTCAAGAGTGTTCAAAGTAGGGATGGTTAGGTTCCAGTTAGGTCCTAATAGGTCCTAAGTAAATTAGTAATTTTTATGCTAATTTTTTATTTTTTAGTTCTTAATAAAATTATTAATTACAAAATTATGAACCATCCCTAGTTCAAAGCATGTCTAAGTTCTAATAATTAATAAATTTGTCTAAAATATGTGTTTATATATTTTTTTAGATTATGGACATTTTTTATTTAGACTATCTTAGTAATATTTTGAGTAATTTTTATTTATATTTTTGTTCAAAGATGTCAATTCATGTTCAAAGCTGTCCATTGACAAAAAATCGGTATATCTTAAAATTTTATTAAGAAAACTGGTGTAGGTACTTTAAGTAAAAATGGTCAGCATCTAATTTACATATAAATATACCTTTAACTAATCTATCATAACTTACCCCAACCTAATATATATTTTTTCTTACACGGGTATCATACCCAATGGGTATTTTTAGAAATTTTCTATTTGTAATTACTTATTTAAAATGTATCAGGTTTATGTATCACTTGTATTAGGACGACCAATATATATTAATTTAAAATCATGAGGATTTTTCTTTGATATTTTGAGTGAAAAGATACTGACGGTTCCTTATAAAATAATATGAAAATGTTATCTAACTATACGAGTTAATTCCTAACGTTAATCAGATTTATATTTATATATTAAAATGCTATTATTTTATTTTAAATGATTACCTATATGGGCAATTATTTTGAACATGAAATGACTTGAATATTTTTTTTTTTTGATTTGGAGCCATGACTCTATTACTAATTACAAGTTACAACGAATGAACTTCTGGTTCGTGTTTAACAATATTATATAATTATTTAAGAATTATTTTTCATCGGTTTAAAAATAAATAATGAATTTATCCAATAATAAACTATGTTAATTTACAGAAATCAATATCATTAGTCTAATTTAATCTATAAAATTAATTTTAACATTACAGTTCCGAATGTTTTAAATTTGATTCAATGTTCAAATTGTGAAATACTTGGTGAAATTATTTCAACAATTTCTCTTGAAAAATGTAGAAATTAAGGTAATAATTGCGTCCCTATATAAAGATGTGAATGTTATATGTTTGAAGATAACAATAATAATATATATATTCGTTTCTAATAAGTCAGATTTATGAATAGCATTGTTCTTGTTATCCAATGTAATTTCTAAAATTTAATGAGTACGCTATGCTTTTTGAGGAATGTTTGTAGTTGTATATAATTAAATTTATAAAAATAGTGTAAACATATTACTTTTTGCAAATACGAAAAACTTCATACTCATCTACCGAAAAGGCAGTAGAATCGGTAACACTATCTAAATAATCATCTTTTTGACACGAACAACTTCCTTCTAAATTGAAATTATCTTTCATAGAAAGATCTTTGTCACCAAAACATGGGCCATAGCTTCTTCCATTGAATCGAATAGCATAATAAGACCTTTGTCTTGACACGCGACTCAATTTTGCATCTTCAACCATACCTCTATCTCCAAAAGTAAATAGGAAACTATCCTCAGTATTCCAATAACCATCGCCAGCCATCCACATAATTGGGCTATATCCACCTATAATTTCACCGGTACCGTGAATTTTCATTACCACCACAGTTCTACCTTTTTCATCACACCTATCATGAAAAGTGCCAGAGTCAAACCCATCTCTTGTTCCTCTAATAAGCAATTGGAAACGATATGGAATTTCATCATAAAGATAACGTTTTTGACCAAGGCGATCAATCCAGCTTGCCAACAAAGCAGCATGACAAGGCCTAATAAGCGTGGAATCAAATTGCAGTCTTCGGGCCAACACAACAGGTTGTGGAGGACAAGCAGGTTTCAAATGGTACCTCATAATATCTTCCAAAATATCCGGAGGTAAAATACTTCTGAACGGCCAAACTTTATCAAAAAAATCCGACGAAGAAATTTGAGAGAAACCAATAAGTGGTATACAATTAGCGATTGTCTTACCCAAAGCATCAAAATCATCAGTAGTCCAAGTTGAAATTTTAGCAATATCTAAAGGAGGATTTTGAGCAACACCCCATCTAACGATGTAATCCCAAATATCAACTTCTTCAATTTGTAGATTATCAAGCTTTAGGAATGGTACAAGTAATGAAGAATCCATGGACAAAAATTTATTAGATTCAAAAAGGTAGAGAGGGTTTTTACAAATAATCTGAAGACAGTACTCTTGAAGTTTGCGACAAGATTCAATAAGATGAACTTTTTGCCAAAGCACGATAAGATTATTCTGAAGCCAAGTATTTTGTTGATGAAGAAGATAATCTTGTACATGGTCAGACAACTCTGTTAATAATAATTCATCAGTGGCAACCAAGAGATCAAGAGCATCCATCACGGTTTTGTCAGTCATAGAAACGGTTCCACTATAAATAAATCTATGATTAAATAATTTATTTTCCATGAATAATCGTTAGAAATATATATATGTATATAATAATAAAAATAAAATATCAAAGCATTTTAAAATATGTACATACTGAAGAATAATATCGAATACTTTTGGAGAAATGTTTGGTTTTGAAAAAGTCATAAAATCACCATCTTTTTTTGCCCAATTTTTTGAAAGTGCACTTCGAAAATAAGGAGACCTAGCTCTTAATATGATCGAGTGAGCATGAAATATTTGAAAATTCGGAGACTGACCAACTTCTATTATAACATTATATTCATCTAAATCATCGTTCAATAAGTTTCCAATATCTCGAGCCAAAGTTCCTAAAAATTTAGATGACATTTTTTCTTTTATATATAAAAAAATATACGTTTGTTTTTAGGATGTTTTTATATTAAAGAAAAAAACAAAATAAAGAAAAAAACAAAATAATTTAAACTTTTCGATTACACAGTAAAAAGCACAATATATTATATATATATATACCTTTCAACTGATTTACGACTTACATGTTTTTAAAGCCACATGATTATTTTAAGTTAAATCGGGTTTTATAATATTATTTATATTACTATAATTAATAATCAAAATTTATGACAATATTTATGATTGGTGAAATAGTTTCTGTATTGTTATTCAAAAAAAAAAATCAAGTTTGCATGGGAGTTACATGAATGTTTTTCGTTCTTTACCAAATAGATTTGATTAATTAGTCACGATTTTATTTCAATATCAAAATATAAGGGAGGTTTTTTTGTACGAAATGTTTGTAGAGATACGTAATCATGAGTATTAGTATTCATACAGTTTCATAAATGATTATTCTCAATCGTTATTAATGTTTAGTGCCGAATGTGAATACATTCTACATTACCGTTATTATTTCGGTAATAATTTTGATTCGATAAAAGTCTAACGAAAATCTGGCACTAATAAAATTTAGAATGATTAAATAGTACGTATTTTTAAAGTCAAAATAAGATTGAAATTAGGTACCATACAGTGCAGGCCATAACGATGGTACTACCATCCCTATGAAAGTACCTGGGGCATATTTTTCATATGAAATCATTAAGTATAGTACCCTGGGTATTATACGTATATATATTTCAACACAATTATAAATATGTACGAAGAATAAGTATACGAAGATGCAAATGATCATACGATTTTTTGACCTTTTAAATTTTTTGATTAACACTTTCAGAACGCCAAAATTCCCTCGGTAGGAGACTTTATTCTCTACGTATTGCATTTATCTTTAACATTTAGCATAAGTGACTAAATCAATAACCTATCATTTATAGTAAAAATTGACCATAGAATCAATCATTAAGGCTAGCGTTGATCACAATTTATAATAAATGAGAGAAAAAAAAACATTTATATAACCTTTTGGTAGAAAAACGATAATACTGTATGATATGTTTGTAATAATATTTGTGTATATTTATATTAATAAATAATTTTCGTCTTTCCATTATCGTTATTTGTAGATAAGGTTCTTACGAGACTATAAAGTCTTCAAAGAGCAACTTTGAAATTTTTAATACAGTATAAAAAGGAATGAAGCCTTACACTTAAAGAGAAATTACATTTAGAGGTTAAGTCCATATTACACTATATACTCTGGGCAAAAAGGGCTTGCGCTTAGAGAGAAGTTTGTCAGAGTTGCATTTAGGGAACATACATTTAGAGAGAATCGACTGTAATTATAGAAAATCAATAACTTGATATACTATTTGACATCTGATTTAGGATTCTATCTTTCAATAAATATCAGCGACATGATTTTGAATAGAGATCAAATCATGGTGAAATTAATTTCATTCATAGCGATGAAATAATTTTATTATTCCATCAGCGTCTTTTGATTTTTTTTCAACAAATTTATAGTATAAATTATAGTATAGATGTACAAAAATCTCAAAGAACTCTTGTGTACATTTATAATTGCTTTTACACCTGCTAAATATGAAGAGATAAATAAAATTTGTAGGACAACACTACCAAAACCAGTATATATAAAATAATAGGCATGGCGATGGGCGTTATTTCGAAAATCAGATTGTTAAAAATAGCAACTTTGGCGTCCTGAACTAACGCGCATTTCATAAAATATATTATTTGCAGTAGTAAATGTATAATACATACATATCATAACGATAAATAATTATTATGCTCGAAATAAGCACATAGGCGTACTTGAGACATCGCGCGGGCGCGATCTGTTCTCAAAGTCTCTTACAAATTAAGGTTCTGCAAATGTCGGGCGCAGTACTATTGAAAGATTGCCTGTGCTTGTACCTGGCACTGTTTTAATGGTACCGTGCCCAGAAACTTACAGACTCCTAATATATGCCGATCGTTTACTTTGCTTTATGTCTGGAAAAGGTGTACCGTGTCAAAGTGATTGGGCTAAAAATTTTTAAGCAGTTCACACAACTATAAAAAACCAGTTCGTTTTAACTATTAACGCTAAAGCATAACGATAATTAATTACTAATCCAAAAGAGGATATTAGGCTTACCGTTACACTGTAATGGTAAAGCTTACAACCTGTACGGGTAGATCCGAGTCTAAATTCATCGGATCATGGTCGGCCGAACCGAAGTTAACACTTTACAATACAGCAATAAGAGTCATTAAGTAAAAATGTAACGGTAGTCTGATAATATTGATTAATATGCAGACGTAGTTCTGACCAGAAATTTTGATGATTGCCTGTAAAAAATCAATTTTCAGGTCTAGTCCTGGTCTAGTCTTTTAGAAAAAAGCACATACTGCACTTGGCCTGGTCAGCCCAATTTAATATTAAAATATTATAACCATATTTCAGACCTGCCAAATGGTCACCACCAACATATACATATATGAGTGCTGTAGAATGAAAACCTGGAAGTGAATCTTTAAGTTTATCACTGTAGCGGACTTAGTCTTTATTATATGGGTGCTGTAGAGTGAAAACCTAGAAGTGAATCTTTAAGTTTATCACTGTAGCAGACTTAGTCTTGTAATATATAATAAAGACAAAGTCCGCTACAGTGATAAACTTAAAGATTCACTTCAAGGTTTTCACTCTACAGCTCTCATATAATAAAGACAAAGTCCGCTACAGTGATAAACTTAAAGATTCACTTGCAGGTTTTCACTCTACAGAACTCATATATATATAATTTCATAATCTGGCATAGTGATAGTTTAGCGTTACGATTTAGATCAACCCTACCTTGAACAGGCTCCGGAACCAATGCATGTCTCTAGCTCGAATTTTACTTTAAAGCATAAGAGTTAGGGTATCACAAAAACATGCTAATAAAACCTAAAGGGGTAGCCACATGTGAAAGATAAGAATAATAAATAGCATAAAGTGGAACACATTAAGCAGATGGACTAATAAAACCGAACAATAGGGTATCAACATCCTCCAACGTTACTAATCCAAGGATTAATAAAGTTTGATCTAATTGTGTACCCTGCATGATTATTTTACGTATTCGAGAATCTAGTTTTTTCGGAGCCCGGAGTTCAATTAGCAGTTGACAATCATTTAACTCAACAATCGATTATGGTTTTATTCGGTCGATAAACCAATCAATTTATTTCACCTTGAGAATTATTCAACTTATTTATTGGTACTTACGGAACTGCAGAATTGATTTTAACTTTCTATTTGTTTATTACAAAAAATGCAATAATAAAAAATTTTGGTTTGTATCCAGTCAAAAAAGTTTAGGGGTTTGCACAAATACCTTATACATGTTTTCCAGAGTCATTTTTGTTACTTGTCTTCAGCTTATTGCTGCAGGCTTCTGTCATTACTAGTTGTAATAATTTTGTAATTTGTGTATTTTTTTTGTTCTTTTATTTTTTTAATTTTTCGTTTATTTGGTGTGAAGAAAACTTTAAATTTATGTACCGTGCATCGGTGAGATATTGATGTTGCGGAGTGCAGTTCTATACTGCTTAATGATGTAAACTTTCTTCTCCGACGAACAAAAACAAAAACACCTCGGTCAACTAATATTATAAATTTATGTTTATCATCACAAGATATGAATTAATCGGAATTGGTGAAACGAATAAAAAGTTATCATCCATTGACTCATTGTCAAAAATGTGACTCTATTGTCCTAGCAGCCATTGTTAGATCTGAGCCCAGCCCGACTGTTTACGAATTTATAGTAATGCACTGATGCAAATCTGAAACACTTTGATATCTGTAACGTGACTTTTTCATCACATCTGACGTGATTACCTTTTGTAAAAGCTTCTCATATGTGCCATAAAAATTCTTCCTTCGCAGAATCCTACCTCGTGGCTCGATTCCATGCTTTTATTTTATTGACTGCGTGCCCATAATTTTAACCGCTGCTTCGTGCATGCGTTTCTATCTTTTTGTCTACATCTAATCCATTTCAAGTAATTATTGGGGTTTTTTCCTTCATTTTTCACAAGATTTTAATCGTGGATATGAACTTTGATACGCGTCTTATTTATGGATTTAATAATAATGTATGTATATTTAATTAATATTCAATAACGAAAACCGCAGATACGTATGTGATAAAAAAAAGAACATGTCCGATTTACTGCATTTATTAAGAGATATCTCCGTGGTGCTGTGTTCAAGTTGTACAGGATACTTCTTTCTCAAATGGTCAAAATTCTCTAATAAAAAAAAACCCGCATTTTTTGACATCAGAAAAAAAGTCACGGTTAGCAACCTTTTTTTAACTAGAAAAAAAGAAAAAACGTGGTCTTCTAATAATTATTAATATTTTTTCTTTTCCTCACTTTTTTTTTTTATTAGTTATTTTCTTCGAGAGTGGTTTTGCCGAAATATTACCTTTTATATACCAACTTCAACTTTCCTTCTCCTTTACTACGTATAAGATAAATATACCCTTATTTAACTACCAATCCTTATTTACTCATCTACATAAAAAAAAAAGCAACCTTTACTGATTAAAAATACTATAAAAAAAAAAATTATTAATCTTTAATAAATTCGATTACACAGAATAAAGAATGGAAGAAACTTCTAATCCCGGAACAAGAATGGAAGAAGAAACTTACATTCCCGAAATCCTAAATGGAGAAGAAGAACAAAATACTGTACAAAACATAAGATTAAAAGACGTAATAACTGTGGACCAAGAATATAATCAATTATGTCAGACATTTCAAGATAATATTAGTGTTTTAAAAGACTTGATTTCAATAATTGGTCCCGGCGACCCTCTCGAAGAATACTTTAAAGCTACACAAAACCTGTCGTCTTGGATGATAACAACTTTTGAAAACTTCCCCGCGTTTCCATCGAAAACAACCCCTCAAATCGACATCGACTCTATAAACTCCGCTGACGTTTCACTGAGCGGAATAGAAAATAAAATAACAAGTAAACTGTCGGAATATAATCAATTAAGCGACCTCCTAACTAAAACGAACTCTATCGTCGATGCTTCTTCTAATGAAGAGCTTAAACAATCCCTTGTAAAAATTTCTTCTTCTATAGAAACCTCTTGGAATACTTTTAATAATTTGGTAAATTTAGGTAAACTTAGATTACAAGAGTTAAATTGGGTGGTTGAATTAAGATCAAAAGTGGCTGATGTGGATGTTGAAGTTAAAAAAGTTGAGGCTATGTTGGATGGTGTTGAGGAATCAAGAAAAAAGACCCACGATGATGGTAGTGTTACCCCTAGTCCAAACAATACTGGTATTATAAGTACTAGTTCGTCCAGTGATATCACTGTAACTGGTATTGTTTTCTCTTCTTCTGTTTTGGATGAATGGTACACCAAGGTTGTCGCTGTGGAAGAGTTGGTTTTCGGTGTTGCTGCTAAAGTTAAAGAGATTAATCAACTTCTTCTGCATGATCGTTTCAGAGCCTCTGATGATTTGACTATTCATATTCAAAATGTTATTACTTCTAATATTTATGACCTTAAAAATAAGATTTACTCTACAAAACAAAAACTTGGTCAAGATCGTCGTATAGGAAGATGGTTTGATGATGCTAATGAAGTTGATAAATCTATTTCTGACCTTAAAAATGAGGTTAAAGAATTAGAAGTTCCTGATTTCGTTCATAAACATGAATGGTCTGAAGATGAGTTCAATCTTCAATCTTTTGTAAGTGAACGAAGGAAAACCTTCGAATCTATCTTAAATGAATCTAGTCAATGTAAATCCAAAATCGATGACCTTGATAAGAAAGCTACAGATATAAACACTGCTATTAAAGATTCTATAGATCGCGAAGATCAAGCTACGGTCGAATTAATGACAAAACAACTTAAAAATCTCAATGGAAGACTTGTAAAATTATCTGATTTCATTACTCTCCTTTTAGAACAAACGACTACTGATCGTTTTTCTGTCGTTATAAATCTTCTAACTTCAATGCAAAGCATGCGTAATCAAATGGCACAAATAAGAAAAACTATTATTGAATATAACGATGCTGGTTTGGTTCATGGTGATGTCAAGGATCTGGAATCTCAAATAACAGATTTTGAATCTAATTTATTAACTGATGATTCTGCTATTTCAAAAGCTCTAAGGCATAAGCATGCTAAACTTCTTCTTACTATTCAAAACATCCGTATTGCTTTGGCTGAAAATAGACTTCAAATGGCTGCTTATTTAAGTCCTTCAAGTCCTGCCTCTCCTAATTCTGCTAGTTCTGAATTTGATCGTCTAAGTGTTAAAATACAAGATCAATTAGAAGCTTTTCATGTTCAACTTGTATCTCCTCCTACTTATATGATTGAGACCACAAGTTCTGAAAATGACGAATCGCAACGTGAACCTCAACGTGTTCATGGTTTAACTTGTACTGATGATCATGTTGATGAACTTACTGAACGTTATGGTAAAATTGAATTAGATTTAACTTCTTTTGAAAGAAGTTCATGGGTTGAATTTTGGTTAAAAAGTGAACCTGCCAAAAAAACTCGAGGGAATGAAGTTATTGATCGTATAAATGAGTTGGAAGCTAAATTTGTTTTAATAAAAGATTTAATTGAAGAACGAAAACGTGATCTCTTAAACATCAAAGAAGGGAGAGAATTTGCAAGAAATGCCCATGATATTCGTGATAAACTTGATGAAGTTAAAGGGAAAATGAGAAAGGGTGATACAACAACTGATGCCTCAATTCAAGAGTTGGATGCTCTTATGGTTGATACCAATCAAATGCTTAATGATCTTGAGTCCTCTTATGCTCATTTAATATCACCTGAAGCACAAGATACCAGTTACTGTGAGGCATTTAAAAATCATAAAGAGCAATATGTTAGTGTTATAGCTTGGATTGAAGAAGTCCGTGTTTGGTTTAGGGAAGCTGAACGCATACGTTTATGGATTGATGAACGTATCAATACTCTGGAAAATGTTCCTCAAGTTGATGTTTTCCAAGAAGGCGAAGCTCCTGCAACTCAACAACAAGTTGATGAATGGCAAAAAGACTATGAAGACCTAGAAAGAGAAGTTGAAAAATTTGATTCTGAAGACATGACTCGTTTAAGAGCTCACGTGAAAACTATAATGGAAAATGAAGTGGCTCCTTCGGACTCAATGTCTCCTGCTGATACGATGACTATTTCCATCACTTTGCAAACATTAACTATTCTCGATCAATTATTAGAAATGTTAAAACGTCGTGAAAATGAATTAATAGTATTGACTTTACGTGTAAAATGGGAACGTGAACATGGTAAAGCACTAAGCATTAGGGATAGAATAACAAGTGAAATTAAAGAATTTATCTTAAATCGAGGCAGATGGAAACCACCGATTTCGCCTAGAGAAGACGGCTGGTTTATTGATGCATCTCAGCCTAAACAAAGTGATCTTATATTAGAATCTCAAACACACGATAATAATATCAATGACTTTGAAAACAATATAATTCCTCCGACGGGTGAAATTTTTGATGAATTGGTTGATTCATCAACTGTACCAGTCCCAGAACATTTACTTGTGAGGCAAGAAACTCTTGAAGAAGAAGATCTTAAAGAATTAAAAGATTATTTTGAATTTGCCCAAAACATTCTAACACAACGAAAACAAGTTCTAGATTATGCGGAAACCGCAGAAAACACCCATATGAGAGGAATCCGTTTAAGGGATGAATTGATCGAAGAAGAAAATCATCCACGTGGTGGGTCAGTGGAAAAGGATTATATTGCACGCGTTAATGAACTCAACAATAGAGTTGAAACTTCTTGGAACTCAATGGCTCAGAACATTCTCTATCCAGAACATGAAAGTCATGACCCGTCCGAAAATGATATTGTTAGTGAAGGTGTCACCTCTTACCATAAGAATTTGCAAGGTTTGCTACAAGAAACAAATGAAGCATTAAAAAATTATCAACGTGCTTTAAGGTTTGTTAAAATGGCCGAAGAGTATAAAAAAGAAGCTGCTAGATTGGAAGAATGGATTATCAAAAAGGATGATTTTGTCAACAATCGTAAATTTGACGTGTTTCAAGAACCTTGTAGATTCACTGCCAAAGATGTAGAAGATTATGTTTCTGGAAATGCTCAAATCATCATGGATGTTCATAATTTTGATAATGATGAACTTAAAGTTCTTCATGCAAGAGTTGCTGATTTAGTTTCTGAAATAAAATCTGTTGGAACAAAATGTGTAAATACCGAAGAACTAGATAATATGATGTCCAACCTAGATACAAAACTTAATGTACTTCAGAATGATATTCAAATTTTACGCCAACGTGAACCTGACGAGGTAGATGCTGCACAAAAACGACTCATCTGGGAAGATTCATATAAAGAATTTCGCAAATTTGTTGATGCTTCTCTAAAGGAATCAAAAGATTTTATTGCATCCAAAGCTTCATGGAAACTTAACACTCCTGAAGATAAATCTTCACACGAAGATCTCGACCAAGAATACTCCACATTCAAAGAAAAAGTTGAAACTCATTTACAAACATTTGAAACTGATCATAAGCATAAGTATGATGCATTTATTGAGGCGAGTGAAAAACTAACTGATAAGGACCGCAGGAATAACATTGAAAAACGTCAATCTAATCTTGAAAATGATGCAAATAAACTTAATGAACATGTGTATTTTACTCGTGATCTCCTGGATCAACGTGCCGCTGCTGTCGAATATAATTTTGAAGCGACAGTTTTGGATAAAGTCGCAACTGAAATTAAAAGTAATTTGATTGAAGCGGAGAAAAATGTTTCAAAAGGTCCTAGTGAAATTGACTTTGAAACAAATATCAAAAACTTTAACCAAAACGTTAAAAAATTATGGGAAGAGCATGGGTCAAAAATTCCATATCCTACAAGTCCTATAATGAACGAAGTAAAAGTTACTAAAAATTCAGTTATTAAGGATGCTTCTCAGAAACGACTTTCTTCTTTAGAGTCTATGAGCGAAGAACTAGACAAGTTATATGCGACTTATCAATCTTCCCTGGCACTCCAAGCACGTGCCAATGAATGCTTGAATGATTCTTCACGTTTGCAAGATTGGATAGCTGAACGATTAAAAGACCTTAATGACCGTAAAGTTGATCCACTAGCTCAAGATTGTTTGTTTAATGAATCTCAAGTTCAAAAGATGAATGAAGAACACGAAAAGTTCAAACAAGAAAATGCTCGAGTTGACATCGAAGAAGTTAGCCAAGTTCGTCGTAATCTCGAAACATTACTTGAGGATATTAAAAAAGCAAATTGCAAAAGTGTTGACCAAAAACCACTACGCGAAGCATTGGGTAAACTTAACAAAAACTTCAGTGATCTGCAAAACCAATCATCTTCGCATCAATTGGATCTTAATGTATTGCAGGAACGTGCCAAATGGGAAGATTTATATGGACCTAACTCTGTATTACTTGATGACTTAAAAAATCAGGTTAATGACTTTATCACCAACAAAGCAAGATGGTCACCTGAAACTGCTGTACCAGAATCTGACTTACAGCAAGAATTTACGGACATTAAACAAAAGGTTTCAGAATTCGAAGAGAAACCATTGGCATTAACTAAATCTGCATATAATGACATGAAATTAGCAATAAAGTCATATCTATCAAAACAACCGCCACCACATATTGCAAATCGTCAACTCGATTTCGTCCAAAATTATGATGACCTTGTTGGGCGTATTGATTTGGCTAAACAAGTATTGGACCAACGGGATGCTATTAACGCTTATCTCAATCAATCTAATGTTGTTGAGAAAGAAGGCCTCTCATTAAAAGCTTTGTTAAAGTCTACCGAAGAAAATTGTGATGCTGATCCAGGTTTTGCCGAAAAAATTGCTACTTTTAATGAATATTTAAATAATTTGAAAAAAGACTTTGCTGCAAAAATACTTTACCCAAAAGACAAACAATCCGATAACGATGTTAATGCACCAATCAAACAGGTATGTTGTAACCATTTTCTAGAAAACGTTGATCCTGATAATAATTCCAATTTTTTTTAATATCATAGGTGGTAGATGAGCGTATGGAAGAACTTGAAAAGTTATCCAAAGAAATAGACAACCAATTCAAATCATATCAAAAAACTATGAAATTTTCTGGAGAACTCGATGATGCAATTGCAAATGCTAAAAAAATCGAAGATGAGTTTGATCAATTCATATTTGAAAAAGCATCATGGCAAACACAAGAAGATCCAAACATCAAAGCAGATGTTGACGCAATTGTCAAAACTTTATTGGCTGAATTAGAAGAAATCAATAATACAATTGCAGAATTTGAAAATAAAACGCTTAAGCCTATCAACACTAAATTTGATGAATATCAGAATGTCATGAATGCAGACGAAAAAAGTGTTCCAGAACATGTTGAGAAACGTTATAAAGAACTAAATAAATTACTAAATGACCTGAAATCGCTTGATGATTATGCTCAGGAAGTTATTGAGCAACGTAAAGATGTCACAGAATACATGAATAATAGTTCTATGTTGGAAAAGGAGGCTCGAGAAATTCAAAAGGTAACACTTATTTTATTTATAAAATTACATAAATCGTAATTAAATACTTAAATACGTATCATACAGATACTTTTAACTAATGAACCAAGTTCACCCGGAGGAGAAGGAAATACAGTTTCTAACGCTGTCAACGATTTTGCGGAAAGAGTTCAAAAATTATGTGATGATGACACTTCAAAAATTAATTATCCAAAATGTACGATACAAAATGACAAGGACCGAATGGGTAGAGCTGGAGATTGCAATTCTGTTATCCGTGAAGCAGTGACTGCTCAAAATGCATCTTTAAAATCATTGGCACTTAGTTTGAATGATCTTCTTAACACACATCAAAATGTTTTACGCCGTAAGAAGATGATTGAGTCATACATGAACCGGACCAAAGAAATCGAAGATTGGATACAACCTAAATCAGATATTTTGAACAATATTCTTAATGACGATGCCTTAGGAGAATCAACAGAAGATCGATTGCGTGAACTTATAGGCGAAGTCGACGGTGTCGAAGCTGCACGTCAGGCATATAACAGCGCGTTTGATTTCGCTAAAAACTTGGCAGATAAGCTGATTGAAGAGATGACATATGAAATTCAACGTGGTGATGAAGATGTCGAAGACGTCAAAGCAGATCTTGAACTTGTACGCTCTAGAGCACAAGAAATTGATGCATTATGGGCCGAATTGCAAGACAATGTCCCCAAGTGTAAGCAAAGATTAGAACAAGCGCTTCAAGTTGTAGAGTTTAAAGAAAAGGCCAAAGAAATTCTTTCAAGAGTTAATGAATTATCTGATGCTATAACAAATAGCCTAGTCGAATCTGTTTCTAACAATGAAATGAAAGATTGGCAGATTAAATTAAACTCTTTAGAACAAGCAGAGTTTTTCGATTTAATAAAGCTTCATGATTTAGTCCAAGAAAACTTAAAAGATAATTTTGGTATTCTGAGCGATAAAGAATCCAAAAAGATTGAAGAAAGTTTAGAAAATGTTACAAATGCTATTAACTTGTTAAAACAATTAATGGCTAATAAGATTGAAGAAATTGAAGTTTATAAATCAGCACAGATATCTGGAGCTTACATGAATCGCGCTAATGATCTACAAAAATGGATTGATGACTCTATATTAGCATTTGAGAACGCTAAACCTACTTACGGTATTATGGGAGGAGATGATAACGAATTAAACACTAAGAATTTCCATGATTTAGTTGCAGTTTTTGAAAACTTCCAAAACCAATTTCCTTATCGTAATGAGCAGATTGAAAGTATTCGAGCAGAATATGAAAACATCACTTCACAGGAGGGCATTCGAGAATTACAAGATATAATAAATTGTCAAATATGCCTAAACACATCATGGGACAATCTTTCTGCATCAGTAGAAGATTTCAATAACTTTACCGCAAAAGTTGCCCAGTGGCATGATCGTCATGGTGTCATATATCATGTTGAGACTGGTATATTAGAAGGGCTAGAATCTCGTATAAACGCTTTACCTAGTATAGATTTTTCAAATTTAGAGGCTGAAGGTAAAGAATTGGAGGAAAATATTAAAAAAGCTGCGCTAATACTTGAAGATGCTAAAGTTGCAGCTGGTCATATTCCTTTTGTATCGGACGATAAGCTCGATGAAACAAACCGACAAAACTTTGATATTCATCACGAGAAAGCAAGTAAAAAACTATTGGAATTATCAGATGCATTCAAAACTGCTCTTACTGCAGCTCATAATGCCTCACTATTGGCAGCGTTTCATGCCGATGCTGATAGAATTATTAAAGACTGTTATGAGGGAACTGCAATTGTTAAATCAAGGCATGAAGACCTTGATCGTAGCGGTTACTATGCTCTAGAGGTTGAACCGCTTGCAAATGTGCTTAGAAATGCGATTGATGGACATACAGAAAGTGAAGACAAATTGGGCACGTATGACCAAAAGGTTAAGGATGATTTGAAACAAGAAGCTGATAAACTTATTAACCAAAACCCTGAAGCCAATAAGGATCGTATATTGAACATTTTCAGCAAGGTGACAGGAGCCTTGGAACAATTTTCTTACGCAGTCGCACTAGAACGTCGTGAACTCGAACTTGTACGTAGAGTTTATGCACATACCAAATCTGCCCATGACATAAAAAATTGGATGTCATCTTGTAAACTAGCAATGCTAAATATTCAAGTTGGTATAATTGATCAAGAAGCAGAAATCATAGATTTAGAGGAAAAAGTTGCTAATTTCCAGATCACTGTCGATCAGTTTAAAGACATGAGTCACAGAGTTCTAATACCTGAAGCCGATAGTAGAAAAATTGATGAGCCTCAACCTGAGGAATCAAATCCTAAGATTAAAGAATCTGTTCAAACAAGAACAAATAGGATTTTAGAGGAATGGTATGGTCTCAATGATCAACTTGCAAAATTAAGATCCAGCCTAAATGCATCAAAGGAAAGCCAGGAAGTCTCACGTTGTATTAAAGAGATATTAATGGCTATTGGTCAAGCCAAAGAGCGAGTATTAAATGTTGAATCTTTCATCACCGGCGAAGGAGTTCCAAGGTTGCCGACAAAAGACGATGTTATTGACGGTGAAAGAGAGCTTGGGGAAATTCAAGGAGAGGTGGATCATATATTAACACCTAGAATTGAAGCATTGGATGATATGATAAACAATTTAACGGAAAATGACAAAGGATATGTTCAACAACGAGCAGGAATTGCAGAAGCATTGACTAATCTTCAAAGCCTGATTGATAATAAGAGAGCTCAACTTCGAGAAGCTGAAAAGTTGGCGAAATTTGGAACAAAAGCAGATGAAATGAATGCATTAATGAGTTCATTACTTGAAGTAGTGGACGTTGCCACTACAACAAGGGATGAAACACCACTCCCACTATTAGGCGTCGTCGAATTGCAGTCCCGATTAACTGAACTGGAAACTAAATATAATTATTACTACCCTATCATCGTTCAGAAGTTGGAAGACGCGCAGCGAGCAGCGAATCAACTGAAAGATGATTGGAGAGTTGTTGATCGTCTGGGCATTCTAACAGAACAATGGCATGAATTAAATGAAGTTGCTTTAGCCAAAAAAGATGAATTAAGTCGTCTACTTTCAGGCCAGAAACCATTAAGACCACGACGAGTTGTGTCTCCTGAAATCTCTTCATCACGAAGTCGTCACAGGTATAAATCGTCAGCAACATCACGAGCCACATCAAAAACTCCAACACGGCTTTCTCCAAGTCCAACGCCAGGCACACCAGGATCGCCAAGACGTCCACCAATCCGTCTTTTACCACATTCAGTGAATAATTACATTCCAGATCCTAAGGATCAACTTGACGTGGAAGTCGCACGAATAGTAAATGCTTGCCCCGTAAAGATTAAAGTATCGATGGTCGAAGGAGAGCCCGGAAAATACATGTTTGGAGAAGTTGAACCTAAATTATGTTATTGCCGTATTTTAAGAAGTCGTATGGTAATGGTTCGAGTTGGAGGAGGTTGGGCAGAGTTATCAAAGTAAGCACAATTAATGGCGTTTAACATTTTCTCTTTTGAAGCTTTTTTTTTTTTGGAAATTACTAAGCTAATTATTTTCAAACATGACATCGTCGACACCAAAAGATTCCTTGTTGGTATGTATATTAATACAAATGTAGTGAACAAACACTACAAAAGGTTATATATAGCAACATTTATACTGTTTCCGACAATTTGAACTGCCATTTGTTGGAAATTAAAAAATATAAAAAAAAAAAAAAATTTTTTTTTTTTTTTTTTTTTATTCATTAATTTGACGTTTACTACATGATAATATATAGATAACAATGATGTCACTCTCCAATTCATTCTGCCACAACAGAACACGCTAACTTGGAACAAAAGTACATCCCCAAAGCCCGATCTTTTGTCGGATCTCACGAAACAGAGCCAGGAACCATCGTCGGTCAGTCCTCTAGTAGTCCCAGTTTTCATGAGGCGTACATCCGCTTCGACCCGAAAGGATCAGAACTCCGTATCGAAGGGCCAGAAGGGGGCGGCCCCTTGGCGTTGAAACGAATGTCATATGCTAGAAAAGTGAGTAGTCGAGATACTTATGATAGATCACGTTTGATAAAACCAAGTAGCTTGGCAAGATCACCAACCGAGTAATGGAATCTGGTTATTTAAATTTTATATATTGTGGGTTATGTACTTTTTATTTTTTCGCTGGTTCGAAAAAAATTACTAGAAATATATTAAGATCATTGGAGGAAATAATATATATATGAAAATGAGAGTTCTTTTTGTAGGGGTTTTAAAGGGAGTGTTATAGGATCAAATCAAAAAAAAAAAAAAAAAAAAAAAAAAAAAAAGGCTGGGATTTTCGTTACTGGGCTTTGGGTAGGTTTGGATGCAAACAAATATGTAAAAGAATTTACAAAAATCCTTATTATTTATATACCCATTTTATACATATATTTCCTCTTAGATCAAAAAGCGTTATGCATCTTTTTGTAAAAAAAATCTCTTCAATAAGCTAGACAAGGATGATTAACGAACAAATTTTTTATGTATATTTTTTTCTCAATATATATGTTCAACCAATAACATCAACAACCACCAATAATCATTCACCAATGAACCAAACTGCAAACAACATCAGCAAAAACTTTGGATATGGGCAATGGGGTTAGCGATTTTGGTATATTACTTGTTGGCCCTGAAGGAAAATGGGAACGCTCTGGATTCTTGCCAAATGAAGAACAAACAATTTTTAATTTGTACTTAGGATTCTTGGTGCGGAGGAATAATTCTTTGGTTATAGACTTTTGGTTTTTTTTTTTTACTTCATTACAAAATATGTAACTTTTTGTGAAACAAAATATAGTATAAAAACATTATATTTTTATTGTATGAAAAATACAATCATTTATAAAATTTTAAATAATAACTTATCACGCAACTGGTGTTCAACACCACAATTTTTATATCTTAAAAAACTGACCAAAAAACAAATCAAAATACGTGTAATAAGTATAAATATTCAAAAATTTTATATTAACTAAAATACCTTTATAAATTTATAACTAACCTTTTTTTAGTTTAGACTTTAGTATAATAAGTAAACTTATTTGGCATATAAAAATACATTATAACAGTATATTTATTTTATACATATTCATTTTTGAAATATACTGTTATATTAAGATAAGGTTATGCTTCTGATTTTTATTAAGTATATATTATAAAGATTTTTTTTTGAACTTTGGCGACACTGCCAGTTGGTTTATTAGATTCTAAATTTGATATAATACAATTTGAGGTTACATATTACACAGACAAGAATACTTCTAAAACTTAATACAGTATTCTAAATGTTAGAGATACTGTTTTCTGTAATCATACGAATTTATATGTTTTATTTGATCTTGTTTCTTCTGCTTCCTAATTTAATTATATTTAGTAATATCTTGTTCTTTATATTTTTTATCTTTTGATACTGTATTATTTTTAAATTGATATGTTTAATCTTTATAATTTTTTATTTTTGATATGCCTGTTATTAATTTTCTTAAAATATTCTAACAATGATCCAGAATCCTGTATTTAAAGTTAAACCTGTTATTATTATTAATTTTTTGATTAATTTATATTTTAAAAAACAAGTCTATTATCATTATTATTATAGATGTTTTAGGTTTTAGTATGGACATTTTTAACCTGCGCCACTGGTAATTTTTAACCAGATGGTTATAAATAACCAGATAGTTATAAATAACTACTGGTTATACTTAACCAATATACCGCATTAGTATCTTATATTAGT